TCTGCACCTGGCGATGCATTCTTCCTCAGGGCCCATAGCTTTGTTTTAACCTTTTCGGTAGTGAATGAAATGTTGGTTAGTGAAGGATGTTGAATTTGTTGCATCCAACGAGGGAGGGACATTCGTTCATTAGTTGACGCAGCAAAGTGAAGTGTAAAAGTGAATTAAACGAGTACCCACAATGGAAGACTGGGAAGTTTCATGGTGATAACTTCAATCTGCCTCTGCTCACTGAATTTGGTAGATTCTCTTTTCGATTTAATCGATTCCGGTTATGGATTTATGTTGGGAAGTTTTGTGGTTCGAATGCCCAAGGATCTAGTGAGAGAACGTGATTGTGTATGGAGGAGTTTAATATTTCTGCTAAAATGCATCAAATAAATCTTTTCAACTTGATGAAACAACTAAATAATATGAATATGATTCAACCCTAAAGAGTTACCAAGCGATCAGAGTAATGACTGTTTCTGATTTGCTTAATTGACTTCTAAACAAACGAATTCTTCGTATGGTGAGATGTGATAGGCACAACCACACTTTTGATATATTTACTAGTTATAGTACTTGGAAGTAGGTGAAATGGTAAACTGAAAATAAGGTTATACACAACATTTCATAAGCAACGCTTTTTCCCTTGTAAATCCTTACCTGTTATTAGTCATGTACATTGTATTGTAATGGCATGATTGAGAAAAACTGAAAACCACTTGTTTGCTTATTTGTATTCTCATTATACACAATACTTCATTGACCCCATTTTCTCACTGCCACCGCAGGTTGCACACTTCTACAACTCTATCGATAGTCAAATGATTCCGAGTCAGCAAGCCCTCATGCTCAACTCAGCACTGGCTTTTGAACGGCTCATCAAATCACCGCACGGTCAGATTCGTGGCAGTTCGGAAGAACCGAATAAGGGTATCACATGGGATCGGTTGGAAGAAGTGGAAACCTACATCTCGCAGCTTCAAGCTGCATCACGTCAGTTGATGTCAGAGAATCGCAAATTGCGCAAGGTTCATTTTGCAATTGTAGAAAAGGTAGTTGAACTATGCAGATATTTCTACCTACTAATCCCATTCTCATTCGTTTGAATACCGCGCAAAATGTTCAACTTTATAAACGTACAATCGGGGGTGAATAGACTCGTTTTGAGCAGTTACTGTTATTGGGAAGAATTTTCACCATATATTTGGAATGTTTTATCCACCTGAGTGCCTAATTCCAAGCACTTTTGACATACTTTTTGTTTTCCAAAGTCGGTCTCCTTATATGACTGGATAGGCTCGACAGGAAAAACTGTGAATATACGCTTCTTTTAGTGTGTGCATCTTGAATTGCGTTACTCGGACCACAGACACATTCTTGATTGCCCAATGCCCCCTATTTTGAAGATGATTCGCAAAAGCAACCCATGAAAATTTATCATTGGATAATGTCAAATCCCATTTTCTAGTGGATATTTAGAATGATTCACAAATCCATGCTGCCAAATTTGAAATATTTTACGAAGAATCCATTCACACTTGAATTTTTGTCTCCCGACTCTATTTTTTCTAGATTGTACGATTACTGGATGTCGACTTGTTACGAAATCAGCCTCGATGGCGCAGTGAGTTGGCTGAGATACGCTATATGCTTGCGGAAGTAGCAAACCAGGGTGGCTATCCGCCCGATCATATGGCTCCATGGAAAGCTCACTTGGATCGTCAGCTGTACAAGGTGCTCGAATGCCAATATCGAAGTGGATTGGAAGCTTTGAGTGAACGAATGCCCGAACTTCGAGTGGATATGGTCTATCAACAATCCCGTCTGTGTTTTCGACCACCTTTTGAGGAGGTAGGTAGAAGATTTGGGATCCCAGATGCTGTCTTAGTCTACAACCGCAAAACATAACTGTGTTTATTGAGAGTTTGCCATTTTATTATTCTCATTGGCTCAGTAATTGTGACCAGCTCCGATTTACAATTCATTTGTTGATTCCTAATTGGATTGATGCATTTATGCTTTTAATGGATGAAGTTCATACTTTTAACCAAATAAAAATGAGAAAAATATAAATTGTACCAGATTCCTAAATTTCAATATCACACCATTAATTTTCTCGACAGCACACAGATGATGATTGCTAAGAACATCCAACAGTCCAGTTGATAAGCGAATTATATTTATACACCACATTTCTCATTCATTCAATTACACTGATCTGCAATTCTCGATTCATGCACATAAATTTCATTCACTTGGTTTTTCTTGGCACTGATTGTATGTGGTAATCAGTAGAATTGCTGGCGTACTAAAACATTTCACTCATGCAAAGCCCTCCAATTCTAGATACCGTGAAGACACAAAACACCTCTATTCTAATGTTTTTGTGTTATATTAGACTAAATTTTGGACGCAGCTTTTTAATCAGTGCTTTCAAAATGATACTATTCCTTAGTTTCTGACGACACACACAAATGACAATTGTCCTTATGGGTACCTGAGTGTTTCAGGCTTCAGTTTCAACAACCATTACCATGCACTTTCTTGCGCCGATATTGGTTGCTGTCTTTCGACTGCCCATTTGAATGAACAGGGGAGAAACACAGAAAAGGGTGAAAGTATAATCGCAGATAAAATTTAGGATTTCATTGTACTAATTTTGCAGAGAAATCGACAAGATGCTCAAACTTAACTGTTAAGAACATTCAAACATATTATTCAGTGTCTATAAACATCCCGAAGTCCCCATCCAGGGAGTCTAACGGGACCTATGCGACCCAGACTCCTGGTTAGTGTTTTCACACCCTCATCCCAGGTCTTACCTTGACCTTCTTCCACTCACTACCTGTCTCGGCGAATATCGCTCACCGTAGTAACCTAATTGGTGACATGCGTAACAGATGCCCCAAACAACGTGCGGAGCTCGACCGCTTGCTCCAGTGGGCGAACGCGATTGCCTAAAACTTTGCGCCTAACCTCGGCATTGCTCATCCGACTGCCCCACCAGATTCGTGCAATGCTGCGTAGACAGCGGTGTTTGAACACCGACATTCTATCTTTATCCTGTTTCCTTAATGGCAAAGTTTCTGCACCGTATAGCAGAACTGGCCGAACTGCGGCAGCATACACTCAACCCTTCACAGACAGCTGGATATCGCGACGGTGCCACAGATGTCTCAAGCTGGCAAATGCCGATCAAGCCTTCAGTATGCGAGCTGACACCCACCGGATGCACCCACCGGATGAGATATAGCTGCCTAGATAGCAAAATTTGTCTACTTGCTCTATTACTTCCCCAGTTAGGGTGAGGCTGAGTGTAGGACCAATCCATTCTTGAAGTAACATTTTACATTTTGAAGGTACGCAACTCATACCAAACCTGGTTACACTAGCACTCAAACTATTCAAAAAAGCTTGTAACTTACCTGGATCTTCACTTAGTAGCACAATGTCGTCTGTATATTCTAGATCAGACAGCCTGCCACTTGGGAGTAAATCGATACCGCTATCCTCACACGAGGATAGGGCTGTTTCCATAATCAGATCTATAACAAAGTTAAATAGAAACGGAGATAGAGGGCCACCCTGTCGAACAACACTTTCCGTGGTGAACTCGGGTGAAAAAGTGCCGTATGCTCGAACTCGACTTCGGCTATTAGTATAGAGGGATTGTACTACTGAAATAAACTTCTCGGGCAAACCCTTCAGGGAAAGGCAGCGCCAGAATTAAGAGCGGTCGACTGAATCGAAAGCCGCTTCCATATCGGGGAAGATGGAAATGTTGAATAGTGAAGCCGTGGTCGATACAACCTTGATCAGGTCTGAAACCAGCCTGGTTCTCACGCATGCACCGTTCACGTACTTCAGCCAATCAACGGAGTGTGATCTCAACGAGAGTAGCAGTCTTGAATCGACCCCTTCCAGCGGTAACTTAAAGCGCTGTGTTCGATTTGGATTCAGCGCTGTGAAGAGGTAGGCGGTTTCCAGGTAAGGCAGTGTCGTTTCTTGTGCGAGAAGTTGGTGCTTGACAGGAACACTCCGTGGTCCGCGCACATTTGAAGTAGGCGACCTCCTATGTCCTTCCGATTGGCTGCGATTGCATGTGGTCCGCCAAGAAGCCTTTCTGATTCGTCCGGGGATCCCACTTGGGCACTAAAGTTTCCGGTGACTACTACGACGTTCGTTGACCGAATAGTCTGGAGTAATTGAGAAAGTTCCTTGTAGAATTTATCCTTCATTTCAGGTGTACTACGATCGGTCGGTGTATACACCGATGTGATGAATAAACATCAATGCCTCGTTCTGTATCTGTTGACCCGTGCTGAGCCGTTGAGACGTACAGCGCATAGCCGGCTGCTAACTGGAATCCAGTCAGGAAGTGAGCGTTCAGTCCTGGCACTTAAAGCAATCCCAACACCAACAACATCGAGAGCTTCGGATGCCGAATCGCCTGACACACGAAGGATGAGGCTTGAGGTTGAAGGTGGATAAGGAGAGCGTAGGGAGATAATTTAAGTAGAGTATTGTATGCGTGTTTTGGAGACAAAGCATGCATCTAAATTGAAAGTTTCAAGGGTTCTAGTTAAGACAGCTGATCAATCTGATAGTGTGGACATTGAACGCGGCTGAGTGAAAAGGGAATATAGGCTTTAAAAATCCTACAGATTCTGGTTGTCTGACCTTGCTTGTAAAACGCTGAGTGATGTCTTTTGGTTCTCTTAACCAGGCATCTGGGATGATGTGAGCCTAAGAGGAATAACTAGACAGACGGGAAAGAGATTTCTCCAAGTGGGTGCGTAAGACTTTAGGGCTCGATATACTTCGTGGCAGCCCACACCAGAGCCTTCGACTCAAGAGTTTGACCCACAAGGCACTGGGGCGTAAATCCAACGTGGGAGCGTGAACGAAGCACCCATGTAGGAGCTTCTAGAGACCTGTTACGCAAGGCCTCTGAATTTCAATTAGTTGTGTTGTTCACTGGTGCGTTGATTATCGATCCGCTTTTCGGGATCGGCCCTCATCCTTATGCATCCAATCAGACAAGTGGAACGTGGACGGGACAGCACCTTATTGGCTGGGAGCTGCCCAGCTTGGGCGGACGGTGGCTGTTCAATGAAGTGCGAAGAATTCTCCCACCGTTGAGAGCAAACCTCAGGTACCCCGCTCTTACGTCCATCTAGCGGGGTTTTCTGACCGGTAAACTGCTCCTCACCGTGTTTATTTGCTGGAGTGGCCTCTCCAAGGGCAGGTGGGGATGGAAGAAGGAAGCCAGGAGGTGCCCAAGCAGCTGGTTTCGTGAAACTGATTTTCGTCTGGCCTCTATCCGTTGACCTTTCAGGCATGATTAGATCTACGGCTGTGAAAAGCTATCCTGTGTAGCTCGCAGAGTCATGGAGGCACGCGAGCCATCCCACCACATCAAGGTGCTGTTACGGCTTGATGGTACAACTTATGTGAATGAACAATGATGTCGATGATTGTCTACTAAACGAACATAGTTGTTTCATACGTATACCGTTGTCGGTTACGTCGTTGAAAGCACCTCAGAATATGCTCCTACACGATCACGCGTCTCGAATAACTTTTTCTGAAGAATTTCTTTACTCGGCCTTCTCTTTGCGGAGGTGTGAGAACACCAAAGCCTACATCCGATGGTATAATCGGTTCACCGAACCGCTGGTAGTTCATCTATCGAAGTTGGCTAAAAACCCTGATTCGAACCCAGAACAGACTTACGAAATTCACCTATTCACACTTTTTTGGTTGTGTCACTCACAGGTCACCGGCTCGATTGAACTTCAAGGTATATTGGGTACCTTGGATGTTTGATCTCGTCCAAAGGGTGCATGATTAGATGAATTGGTCACCGACCGTCAATGAATTGCGTTTTTCGCACACCTCCCCGCTGCTTTGCGCTTCAAGCATTGGCTAACCGATGTCTCAGGTTTTGAACTCCCCAAGAAACCTCTCCAGACTTGGTGTGGGCAACTGTGCAATATATCACCTAAAACAAATCATGGAACTTTTTTCTTTCTTAACGATTATACTGTGATCTGTTTGGCACACAGAGAAAGAGAAGTGTGTAAATGCATACGTACCATAGATGCATCTCTCAGAAGATTTTTCTTACTCTTTGGAATATCTCACTCATCTGCATGAAACAAATCATTCTTAATTGGAGAAACAGAGGTTTTCGTGTGAAATGATTTCAAAAAAGCGGTATTCGGTTTCAATCCAGAACTTGGCCTCCTCAGAAACATCTTTAGGTCTGTCATCGGATATTACTCGAAAAGGGGAACAAGGATACTATAACTTGGGAAAATAACTGAACTCCCAATGAGTAAAATTCGTACCAGGTCAACAATGCACAGATGCTCTCTGTGAACTCACGTAGGATTAAAACAATAACATATGTAATGCCGCTGATCATGCATGTAATTGCTGGTCATCGACCGCACATTTCAAGTTAACGGGTTTTGACTCCCCACTCGAAAGTTCACGGTTCGAGTCCTACCCGAGATGCACACTTCTACTCTGTCCCAGCAAGGACGATTCGAATACCCAGTGGCAACAATAGGTTCATTCGGTTTTTGCTTGATAGGACAATCCATGTCGATTGTAATATAAGTACACTGATAGAAGGCTCTTCAGAAACTCTTTCTTCGATTGATTTTCACATTGGTTTGCATCACCTGTTTTTGAGGATAGTGTACTTTCGAGCACTTCTCATTCAATTGGGATTAGAAAGTTAACAACGACTATTTGCTACAATAAAAAACCGATGATTATTTTATTTATTATCTTATCTTATTTGGTTTAACAGTCGGGATTATGAACATTTTGAAATGTCCCCACCCTCATTTTCTACATCCGAGGAAGTGGCAAAAGATCTGGATGAGCATGAAATTATGTGGTCGCAGTATGAGAATTTTTCGAACGAACTGGATCAACTAGCTCAAGAGGACTGGATATCATTCAGGTCAGTTTAAGGTAATAATTTGAAAATACTAAAACGTAGTTCTTCGTATGGTGTCTTGGATGTTTGTGTTGCATAATGGGGAAAAACCTTAGTATACAAACACCGATGCAAAAAGAAAGCATTCTTCATCATTGATTTTCTACTCACCGGAAGCGATAAGATCTCACTGGAATTAATTTTGCTTGCTATGGTTCCTTAACCAACCGATATTTACTGTGTGACTAAGTTAAAATGGTACCCATTTTTGACCTCATTTATGAATAGCTGGAGTGCAAAGAATAAATACCCAAATTGCGAAGCTTTGAGTTAATTTTCATGGCCATGCTTATGATGGCAGGTATGAGATTGAAAGCAACAACTCTGTTTCTAATGTTGGTGTCTCGGTATTGTACAGTTTCGCTCTTTCGTTGCTCACTTGAGCTAATAAACCCTTGATTCAATGATCATCTCCGATCAAGGAGAGCACAAGTCACTGAACTGGAACTGGTTGATTGTGATTGGCCGAAGTGATTAATAACGGGGTTCATACAAATTCAAAAATACTGAACCAATCAACACCCGCTATTTCATTAGCACGATCGACCAGTCACATACAATCCAATGCGAGTGAGATGCAGTTTGATTTGAATCCAGATTATAGTGACCAAATTTCAGAATCTTAATCTTGTTTGGCACAACTACACGCTTCGAATGATCCATCTGCAACTGGCCGTAATACACGACAAAGTCAACACCATGCAGTGTGACGAAAGCAATCGGTATTTCTAGCGCTGACAAATTGAACTGAAACAACTGGCTAAAAGTTATCTGATTGGCTTAGTCGGTTATCCCGATTTGATCTATTGCACGGTATTTGCTCTCGTACCTAAAGGTGTTAGTTACTAAGTTAGACAAAGTGATTTTGGCACCTATCATGGGAACTGAGCGTTAGACATTGCTGAGTTCGCCCGATACCATGCTGAAGGAGCGAAGGCTATTCGATTTCAAAATGTGAATATCAAAAGCCTATCATTTAACATAACCGAGTCTGAACCACGTTCGATCGACACTCATTTACCTTTTCTGGTGGATTTGATTGAATGGATCATCTAGGTACCAAGATTGAAAACTCAACATGCTTTCATAGTCGATAATTCCCTCAAACGGTTAAGAAGACGCGACTTTTCAGTAGGATAACATGCTCTCATGCCAGGTCTTAGCTTGGCCACCCTTGGTTTTCTTCCACCCAATACCTCCCTCTGCAAACATTGCTCGTCGTGGCAACCTATCTGGTGACATGCGTAACACATTCCCCAACTAGCGTAATCTATGGAGGTCGATCACTCCATTGGGCGACCGCGATTACCTAAAACTGTACGCCTAACCTCAGCCTTGCTCGTCGGGCGGCCCCACGACAACAACTATGCAATCGTTGAAAGAAGAAACGAAACGAAACGAAACCATCTAGGATGCATTAATCCACCAAATACACAAATTTTGATGTCGGTTAAAAAAGCAATGACCGAACATCGGTCAAAATCTGATTCATGATTTTATTCCTAAAGTTGCTGCGAAGTTTTGAGGTGAAATGGAGCATAAATCTGACTTTTACGGGCAGTGGCGCTTCTTCGCACATTCTTCTCGCTACCGTTCTCTCTTCGTTTGTTGTTGGAACTTATTCATTTGTACTAAACCTTGGGTTATCCGTGACCGTGCTAACTCGACCGAATGATAAGGATATAATGAAAATCTTCAGATTGGGTCAACGGTCTTTTGCAGTGTGTTTCTAGGTGAAACTAACCTTGAACTTGAATCCGGTTATAAATCTACACTGTATGTCTTGCAGGTCGAAATGCTATCTATTTGATGAGTTCTTGACCACATGGTTCAATAAACTCCGTTCATCGGAGGCCAATCCGATGACGGTACGCCTGCAAAGGGAGATCGATCGTTACTGGGTATGTCTCACCAAATCCAATATTGTGTATTCATCTATCTCTTTGTACGTCATTTTCCTCCTGGCGTCACTCACGAGTAAATCATGAAACCGTTTGTTTTCATTAAGATTCTTGTATCGTGAATTGTTTGGCACACAGTCTGAACTAACTTATGTGTGAAATGAATTTAAAATTACTCTCCTCTTTTGTTCAACTACGAGATAGTATGTTTTTCTCATGACCCCAACTGTGTACCAGGAATGCGTATCTCTCTTCCAATATGGCTGACACTTTCATTCGATTTTAAGCAATAATGAGATTTTTCTGTCCTCTATAGAATGTCTCAAGTTTGTACCTCCTATAATCTGCTCGATCCATACCTGATAGACTTCTCCATTCGGTACCACTCCTCAGTAGGATATTTTAACTGCATCTACTCTGATTTGATCCCGTTTGAATGGACTGAAAGTTGTGCGTTTTTCCTCACTTAACAGGTTAGCTAGAGAGATTGAACTGACATACGCATTAGTTATTGATGACTTCCAGTTCTGGTACGTACTGCACCAAGCCTGTCGTTTTTCTTGCGATATCCATGCCTTCATCTATTAAAATTTTTCATTAAATAAATAATTATTCATCCGAGGACAGTGAATGAAAAGTTCTTATGAAATGTCAGCTCTTAGCTGATTTGATTTCGTTTCATCAACTTCTGGTGCATGAATGGTACAACGGAAAGACGAAACGAATACATCAAATTCAACTTGTCACATGACTGACTTACAAGCTATTCCTACCGAATAGATCATGCAACTCATGATTGATTCCGGTGGTCTTTAATCTTAAAATGTAAATGTGTCTTTTTTATTACTTGCCTTTTTAGGCTAAGTAGATAACGAAATCGTAAGTTGTATTCCGAATTTTGTGACGTCATCAAGTCTGTGGGGATTGTTGTGCGTCTGTGTGCATTACATGGATATTGAGACGTCACTTTGGCACTTCCAGTTGACTGAGAAAACTGAAAATGTGCTATAATTTATGGAAGTAACATCACACAGAACACCAGCACTACTGGTATTCAACACAATATTTGTACCTATGCCGTGAGTGCTTTTTTAGAGAATTTTGCTTTTGTTTATGTTCGATACTTGCTTCAATATCTACTCTTTTATTGCTCGATTTTCAACTCTAGGAAGTCGTGCCCGCTCTGAAATGGGTTCGTGGGGATGTACTCTCACCGGACCATTGGCTCGAACTATTTCGCCTGATTGGTTTACCACGGGGAACTAAACTGGAACAATTGACTTTTGGTGATCTACTACGAGCATCCCGTTTGATTGTGGAACATGCAGAGGCTTTGAAAAGTCTCACGCATCGAGCTCAAGCGGAGGTTGTCGTGCGCGAGGCACTGCAAGAATTGGACGTTTGGGGTGCCGGGGCTACTTTCACCCTGACCGACTATACGGACAGTGCTGGTCATACAGTTTGCCTAGTCAAGGATTGGAAAGATATTGTGAGCCAGGTATGTGTGTCTCCATACTTCCATACTTCTCCCCTGCAGAAAACCTAATTTTGCTGTGGGATAAACGATAACGCTTACAAAAGGATTCGTCTAGAAAACTCTGAACTTCATACTTGTTGGAATACATTTAATTTGCTTCTTCAATCTTTTATTTTCTTTATCAGTCGATCGTTTCAAGTATATCTCAACCCAACTTACCGTGGTGACGTTGAACCGTTTATTGACATTTTATTGACTTGTTTCTAAGCAAAGCCTTCTTGGCGAGAGTTATGTCCTAGTGTTTAATGTCGGTAACTGATTCAAAACTGTAAGACATTGACCTATCTCCAGTTGATACAGCCATTAGTTCTGGATTTCCATACTCTGGGTATGATTGCTGTTTTCCGGTAACTTATTCGATCAAGCAATGAGAGAAAGTTAAAGAGCCAATAATCAACACAAAGTCACCGATGATATTTCGAACTTCACTTTATAAAAACGTTAACGAGAAGATATTTTTGTTCCTGCAGAATGTGAACATTTTGAAACCTTTGAAACTTTCAATCTCTGTTCTTCCACAACTTCCTAAATGCCATGAGGATCAAATTAATCGTTCCCAGGCATTTTTGAATATTTTAATTACAAGTAGCCTTTACAGTGCAATACAACTTTCTGTTTATTGAAAAGCAACGTGAAACTGTAATTACCCACATTTCTCCAACTGCTCTTTTCATGTATTACAAACACGAGCCTGTTAAGGCTCGATTTGATTGATCCAAAAATTTGTTCTGCAGACACTAGGAGAAAATGAAGAGTTTCTAAAGATAACGTTACTCTAAAACGGTTTTCCTATGTTTCCTTGATAGGCAGAAAAATTGATCTCAACGAGGTAAGCTGTGCCGAAAAAGCCGTTTTTATCACCCTAGCTTACAAAAGTGATCTTCTGAACACGGTGAGTCAGTAGTTGAGTCAACTGTTGACCGCTCAACTTGAACTTCGTTCCTCTACGATCAATGCACAAACGACGGATGCCCTGTTGGACCCGGCAGAGCCCTACCTCCTGAAGCCACGTATGACACAGCACGCGAATCACTTAAATGCCAACTGATGACCGCGTGAAGTATGAAAGTATGAAAATGTAGAGAGATGGAGAAGGCCGCGGTCATGGGTAACAAATCCAATCTTTCTCGTCTTATTAAGAGTATAGGCTCAAGGAAGGTAGGCACGAGGTAATTAGGAGTCTGACGGCACACTGATTCATATTAAGCAACGCAGTCTTGGGCGATGGGTAGAACATATCAATGCACTGTTCGTTCGGCTCCCGTCGACACCAGACATCTCTTTGACCCTGCTTTCAACATCCCAATCTTCCTTCTGCTCCTTTACCCTAAGGAGCAGCAAAAACAGCAAGCAAAACCGGTGCACAAAAGTACGTGGTTATTGGTTGAATAACCACAATGATGTTTGGCAAACCAGTTTCGTACCGCACACTGTGTATCAGTTGCTTTGCGCATCCTATTACAGCGAATGGTCGAACACATTGTTGGTGCCCACCACTGATCAACCGCTGATCAGTTGACTACGACAACTCCGGGATCATCCGTTATGGGATACATCGTGAGAACAATCTGAAAATTCTTTTTGCTTTCTTTTATTGATATTTTATAGACGAATTCGCAATTTTCAGTAGGGGGCGGGTTGCAGCCATTGAGGTTGACCTTCGCTCCTCTTTCAAACCGCTGTCGCTTAACCGCATCGCTCAGCTCTCGTCAGTCTGTGAAGTCCCGCTTATTTGATGACCTCGCCATACTTTATGCCTCTAAAAGTTATTGTTTCACTCAGTTCACTTACCGACGTTTTTTGGTAACTTTTGTTTCCACTTGTTCAACCAATATGATTAATCAAACCAATGCCCTATATATTTGTCTACTTGTTTTACGTTAATGTTACGAACTCGCAACGTGTGTCCTTTTTCAGTTTAAATTTAATGGTTCCCTCAACATCAAACACTTCAATTTACTCTTTTCTCATTGGTTTGTCAAGGTGGGTAGTAACCGAATGCAATTTAAACCGACGCACGATAGCACAACGTTTGTGCAAACTAATTTCACTATAAAATATCATTTTCAAACTGATTTTGTTCGCGGTTCACACTAAAGATCCACTTTTTTCTGTTTCGTAACACCGCCTAAACTTATTACCAGAAAGCTAAAAATATTGTCCAAAAACCTACACTGATTCTGGTGCCCTTGCACTGATACCTCGAGGTGTTTCTTTGTTATACCTTTTCAGGTGGGCGACAATATGGCTCTTTTAGCTTCCTTGCAAGACTCACCTTATTTCGACAGCTTTGCGGATCGAGCAAATGCTTGGGCACAGCGCCTAGCTGACTTGGATCATGGACTGACTGGATTACAATCTGTTCAACGGCGATGGGTTTACTTGGAANTTGGAACCTATTCTAGGTAGAGGCGCTTTGCCTAGGGAGACAGCTCGATTTGCCCAAGTGGATACGGAATTTCGTCGGTTGCTGCAATCTTTGAAAGCCGATAATCGAGTTGTAAATCTAGTCTCAGGATTGAAAGGGAGTGCGCTGAAAGATCAACTCGCCAATATGCAGGTGAAAATAACTCATTTTTATTAGCTGTACATCACGTGGATTTAAGTTATCAAAGTTTGTATCTTGTATAAGCACTCGTGTGATTCAAGAAAATCTTTTCACTAGGTTCACTTGAGGCATTAGCCAATTAGTAAATGATACACAGTACCGATTGATCTATGAGATCAAAATCCTCCTCTGTCGAAAAATTATCATTACACTGTTTGTTTTCGATCACAGTTCTGTGTCTTAGCCCATGTTGATAATTACCAATTCGTTCTTTCGTTTGATCTTGATTAACCCACACTCGTCAGGTTTGTGCATTTTATGTGACGAACTGTACTTGGGTCCTGTCATCCTTACTACCATGATAACTTGCTTGTACTTATAAAGATTTCACCGGTTTTGGCCGCGCAACTGTGACGTAAAATTTTCTTACTATTTAATAATTGAAATCCCTAGGTCAATGTACAATAATGCCCATGTATTATTCTGTTTCAAGAATTGGTACTTTTCTGACTCCAGAAGGCGGTGCTGGTCGAGGATAGTCGTTCATTGGGGATTTCAGATGGGACATCACCAATTTGGTATACATAACACGAAGATCCCATCAGGAACATACCATCGCAGTTCCTGACCACATGATGGGTAATGAATGTAGCAGTCGACAGTTATTCTTTGAGATACAACAATTTACCATCGGTGGTCTTAATTTTTGATCATCGAAAGTTACCTACTACTCACTTGGGAATAGTGTCTCACAACACCATCAGTGCTCATTCACCGAACTTTCAGTATCGATGTGATACTATGGGATTGTTTACTGTGTCTGTTTTATTTCTGTATACATACTAACTAAATAAATTTCTAAAGAACCGGTCATATGGTAGCCGATTAGACCGGAAAATATGAAAAAGGACATTGTATCGTTTTAACACGTAAAGCACTGCAGCAAACCTATACAATTTTTAATTTCCCGATTTTTGATATTCGTGTCAGGACCAATTAGCTCGCTGTCAGCGTGCCCTAAACGAATATCTGGAGGATAAACGCAGCATATTTCCTCGCTTCTACTTTCTGGGTGATGACGATCTGTTGGAAATTTTGGGACAATCCACCAATCCGGTTGTGATCCAGACACATTTGCGCAAATTATTCCAAGGTATCCACCACGTACAATTTGATGGCTTAAATGATCTGGTTACTGGCAAAAGTTCGGTCGCCACACTTACCGCAATGTGTTCAATGGACGGTGAGGTTGTGCCACTGCAGCGTCCGATTCAATTAACCAATGAGGTTGAGGTATGGCTTGGTCGCCTGGCCACTGAAATGCAATCTACCCTGAGTGATATTTTAGCTCAGTGTTTGGGAGAGGGATCCGCAGAAAACAAGCGACGTTCTAGACTCGATCCAAACGCGTATCCCGGTCAGGTACTCACACTGAGTGAGGCTATACACTTTGCCCGGAATGCTGAGGAAGCCTTAAATTGCGGGCGTCTCTCAAGTTTAAAGAAAGACTTGCAGGTAAACAATTCGATATATTGTAGTTTTAGAAACAATACGTTTCGATGTTTCCACGAAATCCAGACATTATTATTATTATCAGTAGTAGTAGTAGTAGTAGTAGTAGTAGTAGTGGTAGTAGTAGTTATATCATTAATGATATTGGTATTGTTATTAATAGTAGAATCGGGTTTAATATGAGGTCATTAAGTGTTCCCTTTTCACCGTTTTTCCTAAAGGCCCAGTTGACAGCATACACCTCGGTGGACTTGAACTTCCTTCGCACAGCGGGAATGGAAGAGTCCGCTGTCGATCCAATTCAATCAAACCAAACCCGAACACACCCATCGATCTCACGTGTACTGGTGGCCAAACTGAACGCGCTCGTCTTGGATACCGTGCATGCAATCGACATAGTTGATCAACTGATTCAAGCGGGTGCGGCCACTTCGCGGGATTGGGCTTGGCAACGTCAACTTCGATTTTACATGAACGCGACCAGTAGATCTGATACTACCTCGGGGCCTCGACAGTCAGTACCCCGTGTATGTATGGTGGATGCACAGTTCAACTTTACCTTCGAATATCAAGGCAATGCACCTCGACTGGTTCACACACCGCTTACAGACAAATGCTATCTAACATTGACGCAAGCTCTGCGAATGGGTTTGGGCGGAAATCCATACGGTCCAGCGGGTACCGGAAAGACAGAGTCAGTCAAAGCCCTGGGTGGACTGATGGGGAGACAGGTAGGATTGTCTTTGGCACTGCTGTTTCTTTTCTATTCCTCATACCACAAATCTGTGGTAAAGTGCTTGTCGTTCACACATGAAAATATTCTCTGTATCGGACAATAACCTTAACAAACCAAAATATCTACGAATTTGTCCCAAAATCTTGCTGAGCGCAGATCAACACTTCACTGCGCTACAACACAAAAATTATGTAATTTGTAGTTTGAGTTTGTACAACCATTAACAACAGACTTTCGTGCATTCGGACAGAGTCACACCGAATGGTAATCAGGCATTCAGGCTTAGAAAACCCCGCCAGGATAATTCTCCACAACCACTAAAAGTGGTTCTTCGAACAGAAGGCGAGGCCAAAGCTATACTCCAGCGGACCCACAAACTGAAGGGAACTCCGGTGCGATTCCTCAGGGATCTTGATCCCGACCAGCGCAGCAAATTGAAAATTGCATTAGAAGAACTCAAGGAGCGCCGTGCAAAAGGGGAAACTGATCTGTGTATACGGGATTTCTGTGTGCATCGGAAGCGCCCTCAGTTGCGTTGGCTGCCCTTGGTCGGGGGAGGACCCAGGAGACTGTTTAACCACAGATGGGGGGATTAGCTTGGGGCGTAAATGGCGAGGTAACCACGCTGTGCTAGTCTCAACCAATACCCGAGGGATGCTGGGAAAAAGGGATGAACTGGAGGACTGGGTTGTATTCCACAATCCAGATCTTTTTGCAATCACTGAGACCTGAGTGATACCGGATGTCCGGGACTCCGAAATATCACTCTACAGATACACAGTGTTTCGAACGGAACGACCATCGTCACGTCGCGGTGGGGAATTGTTCTTTTTGTCCGCTGGGGTCTCCC